TTTCGGTTTTAGGGTTTTCGGTTTTAGGGTTTTGGGCTCTATAAAGAGGGGTTCAAGGGTTTAGGGGTTTAGGATTTGCTCCTCTCCTCGGAGCTTTGAGGGATGGGAGCTTTGAAATTTAACGGTTCATCTTGTTTGACTTGTGGAGCTTTTTATGGGAGTTTCAGAAGGCTCAGGTACCTTACATCCTTGTACCACAGCTCCTGCATGTAGGGTTATGCATTCGGATCGCTATTTTCTGAGCTTGCCAGATGTAGAAGTAAGAAAGAGCAATAATGCATACTGGTGCTACTTCACTAAATTGAGGTTTCGGCTTAGAGGACTCGTCACTATAGTGTTACGGCGATCATATTCAGGTAGCAATACACTGTTGGAACAACCAGATCCGAGTGTAGCCCGAGAAGTGGAACCCTCAAACACGAACTACCAAGTTCATCGCTTTGCGGAGACGCTTTGACACTGTCGCACACCCGATCCTTGAAGCCTCAGTGCCCAACACTGACGGACTACAAAGCTTATGCGACGGCCGCTGAATGGACAGAGTCTGTAGAGACCCTGAAGCGAGGAGAACAAGGAGATGCGAGTGCCCGTCTCCTGCCAGATCTACCCTCCACCTGTCTCGGTGGACGCATCTTTGCTGCCTCCACTGACGGACGCGCAGGCTCCGAGTCTTCGGCCAGTGTTTCTGGGGCATAGGACTTTCCGCAGCAGCAACCGGGATTAGGGAGATTATGGAATGACGTGACCAGAGTTGCCAGAAAGACAGGACTGCAAGATGTCAGCCTTGTCGAGAAAGACTGTTGAAGCTCTGACGGTCTAACGCTTTGGAGTTGAGCGCTTCCACGGAGCAGCTTCGAGCCAGGGAGATGCCATGAAGAAGATCATGGGTTCAGCGCAGATCCCACAGGCACAAAAGATGAAGTGCCCCTTAAGACGGTGTAAGCCTTGAAGGCTTCGTCCAAACGAAGTTGGGAAGGGAAGAGATTGCACAAATAACGACACCCTTGCTGGATGCGAGTTGCCGATGACGAATGGCGATGCCGACCCCGGTGGCAGCGCTTTGTAGCATGATGTTGATGACGATCAGGAAAATGCGATGATGGCTTGGGCATGCCATGACTAGATGGTCTGTGTTTGTATCTTATTTTCAGAAATCCGAACTGATCCATGTTTATCCACAACGAATCCAGGCACTTGCGCTGGAGTCTGGAATTTGGGTCGACGAGCCCTGCAGCCAAACCTCACATGCCAAGATGAACTCTCCGAGCCGGCAGCCCACACAGAAGCACATCCCAGCTTGGGAGGACTGTTTCTGCGAAGACCGACAGCCCAAAATCCGCTCGAGAAAAAAGACGGCAGTGTGAAGTCGCAGGTACCTCGGCGAGTGGAAAAAGGCCAAGGAGACCGGCAAGATGCCCAGCTCCTCCGGCCAGGCCAGTTTCAGCCCTTAGGTGTCTTTTGAGAGAGTGGCAAGCCGCTTTCGCGATCTCGAAGTTGCTTGTGGAAGACGGTCCACGCTCACCCTTCTTCGTGAGCCTCGGTAGAAAGCACTGTGCCTGCCAGGAAATCCGAGGCGAAATGTCCCTGAAGGCCCGCCTTCGTTTTGCAGCATTTCCTTGGTGGAAGTCGATCTTGTGACCAGTCTTGTGATGTACAGACATTTGGTGATCAAAGGCGCCACAAGTAGACTTAAGACTTCACACGGGACTCCGTGCAGAGGGCGGTGTCGGTGAGTTCGGATCGGCGTATCTACCCAACGCAACCACATAAAAATCATGTCAGGTTTGCCGCGGTTGAGCAGCAATCTTGCCCTCGTCATGTCGTTGATGTCTCGCCTCTGTAGTAGCCGGAAACACCTTCGGAAGCCGTTGCTAGTACCAGCCACTGAGTGCACGTTCCTGTCGAGGCCGCAGAAAAGAACAGCATCAATAGTTTAGGAGGGTTGCAACTTTCAGGCCGGAATACTAAGCATAGTAATGAGCATAGATTTCATGATTGTTGTAGAAATCCTTGGCGCCCGAATCAGGACATCCTGGCACTCATGGAAGTGCGCGCTGAAAAGGCGCTTCAGGACATGGCTTGCGCTGAGACCGCCTCTGTCCCCCATCATCGCCTTAAGTCTACCCGCCACGCGTAGCTCTCAACCCCAAACCCCAAACAGCCAGCAAACAGTATGATGCGAAAGACTCGACGAAGACTTGCATCCAGGACGGCTCCCTAAACCCCAAGTGGGGGAAGGCCATCTCAGACTTGAAAGGCAGAAGGCCCCCGAGGGCGAGGAAGCATGATTATTTAGCAGTAGCAGCCTCAACAAACTCAGCCATGTCTGGTAAGATGTTCTGGTCCCCGGAAACTCTGACACACCTGGGCTTCATCTAACTAGTAGAAAGTAGTATTTATCCCAGGATGAACTTCAGAGTTATATCCGAGTGTCAGACTGGGAATCTGGAAGATGTGAGGGCCATAGTGGCGGCCATCGTGATTCGGCGCGTGGGGTGTTAGCCGGACCTTTCTGTGCTCTGTCCAGATTCTGCAGTCAGCTCCCGATTTCAAGATCTTGATTCTCGGTTCTCGGTGTTTTGGTCGACCTTGATTTGCTTGGGGCTTGAAGGGCGTACGGCCTCCAGGGTTTTGTATGCGATCTCGAAGTCCGATCGGTCTGGAAGCTAGAATCCTATAGCATAGGAGCCTGCGCAGTTAGCAATACTGTTCCTTCGGGTTCCTTAATACATATAAGCATCGCATAATACACCCCAAATGCCGTATCCTAGTTGTGAAGTCCCTTATATACCCTGTTGCCAAGTTCCCGAATGCCCCGGTGAAGACCTAGAGGCCTAAAGGTCCTCAGACCGACAGAATCTATGATTGGAAACTCCGAAGGTGACTACCCAGAGACTCGAATACCCCTTGATTAAGGAATATACCTTAAATCATATTCGGGATCCTACTATAAGGGATATTGGAGTCTCTGGGTGCATCACTCAAGCCCAAAATCCAAAAGCACTGCCGGTGAGCGCTGTCTTCGTGACAGTGATGATGTCCTTCTTTCAGGGCACTACACTACTCCTGCTTGCTTTTTGCCTGTTTCACTAGAATCAGCTGCTATACCTCTTGCTTTCTCCGAAGCCCTCAATCCAAAATCCCTAAACCAGCCCTGAATCCTAAGAACGCAGCCACTCCCAGTTTCCCCCCCACACTTTGTGTATTGCGTGCTAACCTCGTTTCCTTCCCCATGCAGATCCCGAACATCCTGGGTGACTAGAAGTTTGTGAATGTTAGCATTCCTCTAGTCTATCATCTATACTGAGCCCTCTTTTGCCAGGTTTTGGGTCATTCCCACCGATCAGACGCCCGACTGCGCTGCCATGTCAGCTTCAGGCGAGGCTCTGGATGCCCCCGGCCTCAGAGCTTCGAAGTAGCTCGTGAGGCGGGAGTCGTACTTGGAGGATCATGGGACTTAGTAGGTAAGGTTATAAGTACCCTAGTTGGGGTTATAAGTAATTATAGGTCTATAGCTACCTTATTTATAACCCTAGTTACTAAGTCCCATGAACCTCAAAGTAGAGCACAGAGTGTAGACCGAACTGAAGGGTTGCTCGACACACAAACTCTTGGGCTCTTGGGGCTCTTGGAGACTGCAAAGTTGTGCCGGTGCCGATGGCTTTAGGGACTCGGATCTCGGGAACCAACTGACAAAAAGCCTCCATAACCCTAAACCCTAAACCCTAAACCGTGGTCGGCCAAGGTCCGGTATATGGCCAGACTTGAGGTTCCTCTGACATCCTGAGGAACCGGGAATAAAAGAGTGCCGCACTGTCTGCAGATGAGAGCGCAGATGAGTGCATCCTGTAGACGACTCCAGGGAGGGTTTTGAGGAATTCGGAGCATCTTCGTGATGCTAGGTGGTAGCTGGTTTCGCTGTAGGACTATGAATCAAGAGGCCAAGAGGTGTCCAAGCTTGCGGGTTTGTACGGTGTCGACTGCTACTGTTTCACATTCATCACCCTGTTAGTATCAATAAGCAGTTTCGAACATATGTCGAGATATTGCAGGCCAATTGCTCTCCATTTGCAGCACAGATGCAGCTGCTTGACCTCGTGTCCGGGCAGACATCACTCCAGACCGTGGCGCTCATCATCTCTTGCTCAGAACGTAGCTTCGGCATCAGTGTGGACGCATCACCGAGTTGGAGAACACACATCCCCCCAGAAAAGGACAGGCTTGCGACTAGAAGCTCCCGTGCGACCTCAGCTCGGAGGAGATTTGCAGGCGGCATGATCACCATCGAAGTTACACGCACCCTCCCATTGCACTTGCGGTGGGCAGGCTATGACTGAGAAGTGCCCAAACCTTGACATTGCAACCAAACGACGTGATATAGGGTCAGAATATATGTCGTAATAAGATTCCCTGGTAGTCCTCATATACTGATATTGTAACAGACCCACAACCCCGTTCCATTTTTCCGGCCAGAGGCCATGAGCGTCCCAGGAGCCACATGACCGAGCCAACAAGAGCTACGTAGTCGTTGCAGCAGAGGTCGCTAGAGGCCATTAGCACTGGGTTTGCGATTGCAGCTGTCTCCGAAGTTGCAGGTCATGTTGAATTGTTCTCCAGCTATGAGCAACTACTTTTAAGTATGTGCCGTGCGCCGCGTCAAAGGGCATCGTAGGCTGCATTACAAAAAGGCCACTACTGCTGAGATGCAAACCCAATAGGTCTAGGAAGCCAGAATAGAAAGGAGCGGTCGGGTTGCCAGCTTGTGATTCAGTTTTTGATTCACGTGGGGCTGCCATCCCGCTCCTTTCGAAGACGGAGACAGGCCTATCGCAGAAATTGCGAGGCCCCATCTCCGGTTCAGACTCCATTACTGCATGGTGCAGAGAAAGAGAGTGAAGGCAGAACTTTAGGTTGCCGTGGGGGATGGGCAGGTCAAATTCAGGTCAAGAGATCCTACCTTGCTGGCTTGCATGCTTCGCTTGCAGATCTTGCAGTTGATTCGAGTCGTCTTCAGCTCCCAGTGTATGCCGCGTTCCCATGGTCGATCCCTGCGCGAGGTGCGAGAGAAGGTGATGCAGCTTTGCGAGGTGCCCACTCACAACCTGCTATTTTGCCTTGCTTTGTATGGACTTCTAGCTGCAGAACGCAAGAAGCAGGCCTTGAGCAGCTCGAAAGCTCCCAGTGCAGGCCGAAGGTGTTCATCTGGACAGCGATTACTTCACAAATCGCACCCCAGAGGACGGCTCGTCAGAGTTGGAGAAGGGCCGACCCGGCCGTTATCGAAATTTGTTGAAATCATCCTCAGTCCGACAGAGCCTAGTAATCCTGCATGGCAAGGCCCAAGAAGATATTCTTCTAAGACAGATATGTACTATATATATATATATATACATATATATATATATATACATATGCTTATTACTAGACTTAATTACATAACTATTTTCTGTGTATATATATGTATACCGATAAGTTTATAAGTGTGGCTGTGTGTCTATATATATATACACACACACACACTTCTGAGACAGAGTCCTGTGAAGGAGCTCCTGGACATGGTCTTCGCCGACTGATCCAGGGCCGAGAGTTTTTTCGATTTTCGACTCCTTTCGACTCACTTCCGCTTCGTTGCTTCTAGCGGCCTTCTTTAAAATAGAATCGGATGCTTTGCATGGGGTAAAGATGGCTATGTTGGTCTGAGGGAAACCTAAGGACTATAATCATTGATTCTTCAGCGGAAGCATGGGGCTTGGGATACTGTAGAGTCCAGCGTTTCCGCCAGCACAGCTACCCCGCCGAATTTCAGCTTTTCGGTGTCTTTGTCAGGTTCTCGAAGCGAAGGCTCCATGTCTGCTAGCAGCTAAGTTAGCTAAATGAGCTTGATTCCTTCTCTTGGGGCCATTGTCCTGAAGCTCCAACTTTCCGAGAGTCTCCTGGACCTCCCGTGCAGAGGACCATGGCAAAACAGACATGCGTGGCAATCCCATGGCTCCAAGCCGTTAGTCATGCCGGGTGTCGCATGAAATGGCGCCTTTGCTGCAGCCGCCACCTGGGCTCAATGGTGGTTTGCATCCAATGCTAGGTCTAGGCTCTAGTCTCACACAAGTCAAAGTAGGAGCCTTAATGATTAGTATAGGGTTTGCGGGTATATTATACTAGAACTATACTATAAGGACCCCCCAAAACCCCATTCTAATTCTGACGGCCCCCTACATTACGTCATGATGAGCTGCACTCATAGTCTCATAGCTTTATGCCAGATTCCCGGAACAAAAAGGCCATTTTTCAGATCTGGAGCTGATGGTGGTGCCATCGGCACGCAAAAAACAGATCAAACTCAGATGCTCCTAGTTCTTGCACGTCGTGGAACGGCTCAATATAGGGGCATTACTACTTAGTAATAGGGTTCTGGGATATAGTACATAGTATATTACAACAACATCCACAAATTCAAAACAAGACCATCGAGCTCGGTATAGGATTTCCTCGAGCTCCGGGGCTCAGAGCCCCCTGGGCCTATTCTCTTTGGACCCGAAGCCCGTGGGCTTCGATGTCAGATGGGGGATGCCGGTCCAATCTCTGTGGCCTTTCCTGCCGGCTTTCAGGTGCGGAAGGGGATTGTTTGGAGGCCCCAAAAAAAAGGTTTCGGAGGATAGAAGCCTTCGCTCTTTACGGCTACATCCCTACCTTCCAGGGCTGAAGTTTCTGGGATTTGCATTGCTTCTGCACCTTTGCCGGGGCCTACTAGGCAGAGGCGCTCAGCTCTTTCGAGAGATCATCACACTGTGACTTCAGCAAGTAGTGGTGTTGAGGAAGCAAGCTCAGACATTTGCTCTGCAGGCCCTGAAGAATTGGCTCTATTCCTTGAAACCTAATAAGCCTTCGAAAGCAAGAGCGACTGAGAGCAAGAAGTGTGCAAAACTTCAGCAACTCTCAGGTTCCCTTTCAGGGTACCCGAAAGGTTACTGTAAGTTTACTAGAAGAGCTAATTATAGAGGCTACTGCAAGGGTTACGGAACGGTTGCTATACTAGTGCTGCAGGGTTACAGGGCTACTAGAGTGGCTTAGTGGGTTTAAAGAAACCCTGAGCCAAGACTGTGACGAAGTTCAGAGTCCGCACCTAGTGCAGCGCGCGAGAAATAAGCTCTAAACCGCAAACCCGAAACCGCCCCAAGCCGCCTTGACCCTAAATCTCAACGCTACAGCGCACACCCAAGCTCATGGATTGTGCCGAAGGTCCAAGATGGGCGCTGCAGGCTAGCGGAGTACGAAACCACAAAGCGACAGCCTCGGTGTTCAGCAATCTGTTTCTGGAAGGAAGCCGGTTCTTCCCCAACCTTTCACCACTAGATCATCCTAAAACCCCAAAAAACTAAACCCAAACCTTCCAGCCCCTAAGACGCCACGAAACCCCAAAGCCCAACCCCCTAAAACCGGGATAGTATCCCAAATGGCAGCATTTAGCACCCTATCGATGCCGTAGCAAGCCCTAGGCCCACAAACCTAAGCCAAAAGCCCTAACCACAACCTAAACCAGGAGCTTTGGCTAGACCGCTAAACCCGACCTCAACCCTAAACCACTAAACCCTAACTAAACCCTACGCCACTAAACCCCCAAAGCCTGCTTCTTCATACTTGGAGGATCATGGGACTCAGTCAGTAAGGTTATAAGTACCCTAATTGGGGTTATAAGTAACTATACGTCTAGTTACCTTATTTATAAATTAGTAAGTCCCATGAACCCTGAAGCCTAAAACCTAATCCCTAAACCCTAAACCCTAATCCCAAAATCCTATTACCCTAGTTACTAAGTCCCATGAACCTCAAAGTAGGACCGTCAACGTGAAGATGCGCTGGCGCGGCCGGCCCCTGGCCGAGGCTCCAGACGTGTCGGTCCCTTTTTGAGGCTTAGGGTTTAGGGTTTATTCAGGGTTTAGGGTTTAGGGTTTAGTATAGGGGCCGAAATAAGTACCTCTACTATTCTGGGGGTTCCTTATTATAATTATGGTATAATGGGCCCAACACCCTATTCTAATACTTAAGGCCCCTGTAAAAGGGGTTTCTTAAGGAGAATCGTAGGAGATATCATGAAGGGCTTTATGACAGGAGTCTCTCAGGGCTTGGTGTTTCTGATTTGTTGATTGCCTGCTGGGCTTTAAGTTCTGTGTAGTGCGGATGGATGTTTAGATTCGTTTAGATTCAGAGTTTGGAGCTTTGGGGTATGTAGGTCTTCAGATTTTGGGGTTCAGTGGTGTTGGATCCGGGTGTGTTCGGTTCAGGGTAGGATTCTGGGAGTTAGGGCTTCAAGCGGCTAATCTAGGGCCTAGGGTAGGGTTTAAGCTTGGAGAGAAGACTTCGCGATTCAGGGCCTGTGGAGGTTTGTTATGTTTATTCAGGACGTGGCTCTTTACAGTGAGACTCTAGACCGTATTGCCGTCACCCCTGAGCCTCTGGCTGATGGATCGGAAGGAGGTAGATGTCAGGTCATGCTGGAGGAGTTTGGCCTGACTGCGGAATACGTCCGGGCCTCGCAAGGGACCGAACTCTCTCGACCGAAGCTCAGGTTCTTTTGGAATCGCGGATAAGAGGATAAGACAGCTCCGGTCTAGAAGCACATCTCAAGCTGAGCCTGGCACTCACACTTACCATGGCTAGCTTCCTGTTGGGTCCTAGTACATAGCTCGGATAAGATACTTACAGCTTTAGATATTTGGGGCCCTTCGTAGTGCCCTTAAAGCAAACTGCCCAGCATATTATGGTCACTGTGTCGACATGTGTGTAGTTTCATCTTCGCATGGATCTCCACTGAATTGCTATCTTTTTCAATCCTGTACTCTTCAGCCTTGAGCCACCCCAAAGCCTGAAGGAATTACTTCATAAACCATATTTAACCATGTCTCTCTCTGTCTGTCCCTCTCTCTCTCTCTCCATACGTATGACCTGTTTTATTTAATAAATGCGTATGTTATAGAAACATGAAAACATAAGAGCACGCTAAAACCCGACAGCGCCGAGATTGCAACGGCAGCAGCAGAGGGCCGCCTCTGCGTAGGAGGCCGTCCCGCAGAAGCCGAGATGAGCCTCGCCGCGCCCCCAGCGTGCAAGCATTGCACCAATGAAAACCCTAAACCCTAAACCCTTATCAACCCTAGAAAAGCTAACAAGGGACACAACAGACCCTAATGTCCACGGAGTCCACTACTTATCACAACTAACATCCGACATTGACAGCTCCTGAACCAAGATGCTCGTCGTGATCGTCCCATGATTCTCAATCTTGATATTTCAGAATCCATCGGCCTCGCGGGCGCCATCTACCATGGGCAGAACGACTCTGTATAACTAAACATGGGGTAGAATCGTTTCCCCAACATGTTTAATCCATCTCCTCATGCTTCCTGGAGTGATGCGAGTGGATCTGAAGCATGACCTGACTGCTGTCTAGGAAAATGGCGATGTGGTGACCCACACCTACATGATGAAGGCTGGATCCTCCACCCCATGTCCTTTTCAGGTTTGTGAACTTGGTTTCCCGGAGGCTATCCTTTTTGTTCATCGGTTTTACCCATGGCGCAGAACCTACAACTTTCGTAGGTGCTACTCAGTGTGGCTTCCACAGCGGCTAGTGCTAATCGGAATGTCCACAGTCGTCCCACAGCTTGACACGAGCGATGCTCTGGTTCTGCAGCTAGTTGCTTTGGTTTCCTGATCAATTCTCTGAAGTGCTGCTCGTGCCAGCTTCTTGCTGGGCCGTGGCCCAGTAGCTTTCTGTGGGTGTCTTAGGTTAAAGTAGGCACCATGTAAGGTGAGCGTAAGAGAACAAGGACCTCGAAAAGACATTAGTTCAGGAGCCATTCCTGTTTGTGCTTTCGTCCTAGCTCAAGTCGGCTGGCCTTCTGTTGTGCCTTGCTGCGGTCACCTGAGGGTAATGATATTGCTGTTCCCACTATTGCCACCGATGGAGGGGCTGAACGGATCTGTCTCTCAGTACGGTAAGCACCATCAGCACCTTACACTGGCTAGGAAAGTAGGAGATGTAGTTGCACTACCTAGTGTCCGCTCGGCCCATGACCTGAGCTGGCAAGATACAAAGACCGCCATGTGCTGGTTGGTCGAAGCACTCTTGAAGCTATCAGCCCGAATGTTTGCTTGATTGAAGTCCTTGCTGCCCCTGAAGCCCTGCAGTGCTGACATCTGGATCTCTCGTCACGCTTGCCGGTAGCAGTAGTAGTCGTCGTCCTCGTCGTCGTAGTGGTAGCAGCACCAGACCAGGAGTAGCAGAAGCGGCCGCGGTAGCATTCGCATTCACAGTAGCAGCGGCAGCAGTGTGGCGAGTAGGAGCAGTCGCTTAGTCGTACTCGCAGTCGTAGTCGTCGTCAGTAGTAGTAGTAGTATAGTAGTCG